ACCAAGCTGTCAATTAAATTACGTCTACAAAATAATTCATACAGTGTCTAAAAGCTTAACATTCAAAACAAGTAAAGAAAACAGAGAAGTCATCTCCAAAACGTCTAAGTGCAATGGTGAAGTAAATCCTTCCATCTTGACATAATGCTTCAACAAAAAAGTCATCTCCATTGTTTAACCTGTAAAAAAATGATCCACTATCAAAACAATAATCAAACTCAACTAAAACTTCCACCATTTAACCTATAAATAAAGCAACGACTCTGACCAGAAACTGCAAAAAGGAAAAAAAAAACAAAAAACGGGTAAAATGTACACTGTGAGCATACCTTGCCAGACTGCTTCTCGAGCTTCTCTTGCCCAGTTTTCTGAAATTGCAAACATGACACCTTGCAATAGGAAGTAAGACAATGATGCAGAAAAACTGAAGTAGCCGTAGAGTTATAAGAATCTTATAATTTCCAGAAACACAACATACATACAAATAATACTTGCCAAACATAACTCAAATAGTTCAGGCAGACATATGGCCCACAAGATTTATGCTTGACAACATGAGCCACTCTTAGTTGGAACAAAAATGGGAACTATATAATTGCTAATTTAATCCTTCTTTGTACCTGATCTCTTTAGGAACATGAGACCAAACATGATCATCAAAGGTAATGACAATATAAACTTCACAAATATGTATGAGTGCCCACACTGGAATTCATTCAATTGTAGAAAGGCATGATGAACGAACTATAAATACTCTGCTTAAACGAACTACAAAATCTGGTTAAGAAAATGGAACACATACGTGTAATGCTGGTGGTTGTTTGGCAAAATAACATTGTGGCACATTGAATTCTGGATCACCCTTAGCTGGCTCATCTGACCAAGGTGCATACACGCATGTAGATAAGTCGCAATGAATTTCCATTAAGAAAATACCAAAAAAAAAAACCAATCTACAGGGAGTTACTTTAAAAATACACACTTTTTTCTTTGTATTTGGATCTTTTAATTATTTCCACGTTTCCAGGTGTTGGCTCTTTTTTTTTTCTTGGTACACAAACTAGTTTGCTTTTCACAATCTCTAATTAACCACAACTTAGATTTGCAAAAATGAAACAGACTCTCATGTTTCCATTTGAAACCACCGAATCAGATAAGAAAAAGAACTATTTGCAACACCAGATGATCATACCTGGGAATGATAAGATGAATGTGAAGATGGAAACATATCAGAGCCATGCACGTGCAGCAGATCTTGATTGTTTCCAGGTGTGAAGGACACACCACTACTGCTGACTGATGGAGCATGTTGCTGTTGCTGCTGAGGTCGATGAGATGAATATGTTGCTCCGAGATTGAATCCAACAGACCTCCCCATCTGGGTATTGAAACATGGAAGTATTAAGAGTAAACTCATAAGATAATAAGGACACGTAATTAAAAGAGAAAAACGATCTAAGACCTACGAAGAAATGCTGAGATTGCATCATTGACATGCTATTGTCATGGAGTTGTTCTTTCTGGTGCATAGCCATTGCATAATCAGCATTACCACCTGGGCAAGATTAATAACATGGTGAACACATACAGTTCCAAATCAACGTGTGGTAACCAGTACAGGTAATATCTGTGACAAGTACTGGTGGCATTAATAAAAGAAAAATACACTAGACACTAACTAACAACTAATGAAACATCCTAATTTACAAATGCACAAGACCAGAAAGCTTATAATTACATGCCATACAGGCAAGTAGTGGCACATTCACAAAGAAACCGATAGCACGAAGGGCATTTGATCTTGATACATATCACAGACACAGCCCACATACCAAAAAGGCCGAGTGCCACAGCCTACATACCAAAAAGCTTGGAGGGAAAAAAAAACAACAACAACAAAAAAAAAAGGTGATACCTGAAAAGGCAAGTAACCAAAAAAAAAAAAAAAAAAACCAAAAACCAAAAGGTTTTTTTTTTTTTTTTTTTTGACCCCAACACCACCCCC